AACATGGGTGAAATATGAGTGAGGAGGCAGTATCCCTCTAAATATGGGTAAGGGGGCAGTATCCTTTCAAGTATGTGCAAGAGGGTAGTATCCCTCTAAACATAAGCAATGGGGCAATATCCCTCTGAATATGGGAGAGGGGGCAGTATCCCTCTGAATATGGGTGACATATGGGAGAGAGGGCAGTATCCCTCTAAATTTGGGTGAAGGGGCAGTATCCCTGCCCTGTAAATGTAGGTGAATAGGCTGTATCCCTCTAAATACGGGAGAGGGGGCAGTATCCCTCTAAATACGGGAGAGGGGGCAGTATCCCTCTAAATATAGGTGGAATATGGGAGAGGGGGCAGTATCCCTCTAAATATGGGTGAAGGGGCAGTATCCCTCTAAATATGGGAGAGGGGGCAGTATCCCTCTAAATATGGGAGAGGGGGCAGTATCCCCCTAAATATGGGAGAGGGGGCAGTATCCCCCTAAATATAGGTATAATATGGGAGAAGGGGCAGTATCCCTCTAAATATGGGTAGAATATGGGAGAAGGGGCAGTATCCCTCTAAATATGGGTGAATCGGCAGTATCATGGCTACATATGTCCATATCTATCAATGCACTTGCCTAATTTACTACAGCAATTCCTTTAAGAATGCCTAATACATAAATATGATGGAGTATAATACTACTATGTACATAAACAGGCACTTCTCAGAAATGAAACATTTAAAAATGTAATAAAGTATCTTAAAATAGTAACACATTTTAAAGATCCGTCCACTTTGACTGTTTCCACATATGCTTGCAAACAGCTTGGATTGTACTTTTTGTTCATCTAAAATCAGAATGCATGGTACATAAAACCTAGCTAAGTTTAAATACAGTAACTGCATGGCAAGAGCATGCAGCTGTGTTCACTCATTCACTCAGGCGCAGAGGTCTGTATTTCTGCACCTGGGAGTCAGAGGTGTGTGTACAGCCGTGGCCATCAGCTTGTACAAATCAATGACAAGCTGACAGGGACCACACGGCTATAAGCAAATCTGAGCTGTTATACGCGTGAAGGGACAGATGAGCAGCCCTTGATGGATGCAAACAGGTTGTGTCCAGGGCTGCTCGTCTGTCCCTTCATGCATGCAACTGCTCAGACGTGGCATTGGTCAGCCTGTCATTGATTTGTACAGGCTGCACGCGCGCGCACGCACGCACACTACTCCCAGGGGCAGAAATACACCCCCTTCTGCGGCCGTGTGAATGAAACCTAAAAGAAACGAAGTATTATTATCAGCAGCAGCAATTTAATGCAGTCAGACTAGCACTGTACACTTGGGTATTGCTGCACCCTTTCCCCTCCAGAAAGAACTCATGTGCCTCCCCTGTCCGGGTGCCAGCATGGCCCTGCACGTACCAATACTGGTCAAATGAGTTCAATGATTCAGGTCGTGTGCGCTTTTCTCCAAATACTACATAAGGAAAAGATGACTTGCAAGTAACTACTCGTGAAGGAGCAAACTGAGAATCTCATGTCATACCACACTTGAAAAGACCAGCGCTCTCACTGTGAATGTCAAGCCTATGAATTACATTTGGATTGGTAGTGCTAGAACAACAGGCTGTACAGAGATTTCCAAACATGCTGCACAACTCCTGTGACTAGCACTATATGACTTCTACACTATGAGGCTTATTTAATAAGACAGTGTAACTAGCAATGATGATGTGCAAAATGCAGGTTGTAACCAGAAGTGAGGCTGTCAGTTGGTCACTGCAAGCTGCAGACAGTTCCTCCTCTTTTGTAGTGTGTAATGTACGACTGACCTTAGAAACTATCGTGTCAGACAAGGTTACCACCGATTCAAAATAAGGATCTTCTGGCTTTTGTGGAAACATAAAATATTTCAGGATTTGAAGGGGATAGGGTGACCACAATGTGGAAGAAAAAAAAATCATGAAAGCATTTTCTTAACTTCTCACAGTCATTTAAGGGAATAAAATCAGAGCGATGATAAAACTTATAGGACGCAATGCTGCTGAATTAAATAACACACCATTGTTTGAACTGGCAGTTTTACATCTAAGGCAGTGTGTTAATTAATAGTCCAAAACAAATACTTTAGAATAAAACATGCAAATAGTAATACTGATATTGAGGAACCTGCCATTTTATGTATCAAAAAAGTCTCAGGAGTCAAGCCTCCTCTCAGTAAAACAAAAGGGAACTAAATGTCATTTAGTTTGTATTTTCTTTGGTTGTGATGGTGACCAGTTGCTTGGCTGCCTTGGCAATATCATAGGCGCACTGGATCACTTGCTGTGTCACCAGCTGGATATCCGTGCTTGGACTAGGTTCCACCGGCAGAGTCTTTTTGCATTCTGTTTGCAGTCGATAAGCACTGGATGTAAGAAGTCGAAGAGATGTCTTTACCATATCTGACTTGGGTTTCTAAGACGACAAAATGAAGGATACTTGATCAACTAATATTAAAGGGCAGAGGTAAAGGAAAGCATGCACAACCATGATGTTTTGCAATTGCTGCAGATGATGTTGGAACACTGAGGCCAGCTAAAACCAAAATAGGGAATTTAGACAATAGAAGAAAAAAAAAAAAAGAAAAAAAACTCCCACCCAACCATCCCGAAATATACAAAACATTAGGAACAGGGACTAAATATAAACTTTTCCCCAGCAGACTATGAGAAGTCTTTTATTCTAACCCTTAAGCTATCCCTTACTAGAAAGGCACAGGAATTATACAATACTCGCCCAAATGCTCAGTATCGGTGCATCCCTGACTATAATGTCACTGACCAATAGTTCCCAATTAACTTCCAAATACAGTATTCTTTATGAGTCCAAGGTCCATCGACTCTGCCAAAAAGGACATCCAATGCCACTTCCTCACAACAGCTAGATCCACCATCCCAAGACACCAGTTATAACTCAGCAATTGCTGAGGGAGTTCAGGAACTAGACCATAAAATGTCTATGGAACAGGTGGTGGCAGGGGTTGAAAACCGAATTGATTAATTTACGAATACCTAGCCATACTAGGCGATTTTCAAATCCTCAAACAAAATGCAGAACCTTTCTATCTTTATTCACTAAGACCACACTTCCTTGGTGGGCCATCATAGGGGTTATCTATCCCTACTCCTCCCCTCCTAACCTTCCTCTCCACCTTCCCCCCATACCCATTAACTTTCATCCCCACACTGTACACCCGCTTTAACTTTTTCTCCTTCCCCCTTAAATTCTGGCCTTAACCCAAGCGGAGACTTTCCCACTACATGACACATATGCCCCCATTCACCACCTCATAGAGGTCCGAGGTCCATACACAAAGATTCATGATGTATTGGCTGAGCAATGAATATATCATTAAACATGAGTAGTAAGAAATCACACCCATTGCTTGCTTGGAACGTTGTTGCATTGTATTTTACTGTAATGAATTTGTAAATGTACATTTCCTACTGTAAGAAAAAAAGAATATTTGCATAGAATCCCTATTTTACAAATAAATCTTTCCTTCTATGCCTTAGTGAGTAGTGCTTGCTGAGTTGTTTATTAAGCCCACCAGTAGCTCTACACTTGCTGTGCTCCTGCAGTGCGAAGATCCAGGACTAATGCTCCAGGGGTATTGCTAGACCCCGGCACCCAGGACATGTCCACTAGGTCTACTTTGCAATAGATGTCATCACCCCAAGTACGATCCTTACATTTTGGTCATCTATTTTTACCGTCACGAGTAACTGCATTTTCTACCTCAATTCTTCAGAATAATGTTGGGGAGATAATTATGGGACGTGGGATTTCTAGTTGGTACTTGATTTCTACATTTACCTGAACCCCACAGTGCATATTTATTTTACCCAATATGATATTAGCCCATTGATTAAAGCACAAAGATGTTCTTTGAATTCATTATATCAATTATGAGTTCATTATGTTGTTGAAACATCATTACTTTTATCAACTTTTTAATGTATTATTTCTTCTTTTTCTAAGCAATATCATACATTTGATTTTATATTCAGTCATGACGAATGAGAAACAACTTCACCCACTTTTTATTATGATATACTAGAAACCCTTCAACATTTTTGTCTAGGTGCCCAGGGGTGCCCTAGGCCTTTTAGGAACCTAGAAATGGCGCTGCTAAACAATGAAGGCATTCAATTAAAACAGATAAGTGGAGCAGAAGACTCTCTCGGTCACTATTCTTGTCCGCAATAATAGTACAGACACATTCAATGTAAAAGTAGACATTACCATTATCCTTTACATCATCAGCATTACCCTTTATAGAGAGAACTCAACTTAATATTTACATTTTAAACTAAATCAGACATCTCCTACATTATTAGGAAAAACTTACCTTTGGAAAAAGGGCTGCCATTTCTGTCACTGCAATGTGTATTCTTTCTGAACATGGTAAATAGCTGCAAGAGGGAAAACAAAAATATGAAACCTAGGTCTCTCCACAGTGACAAATGTCACTCAATTATTCTAGAAATAAGAAGAAAATTCCCTAAACCTCTCTGATAAAACTGAATCCAGGCTCTCTCATCCTAAGTGGCTGGGCTTTCAAACTACAAAGATTTTTCTTTGCAAATAAAATCAAGGTGCTGCTAGGAAATTATGACTTGACAGCACCTTATAAAAAGGACTGCCAGCTCACTCTCTTCTTTCACAAAACATATGGGGGACAGAACACTTCTTAAGAAAAGGTGCTACTAATATGGCTCATCAGTTCTGTAAGATATTAAAGTGACATGAAAAATGGAATCTTTTGGCCATTTTAAACTTTTCATGTAAAGTCCTGTCAGGAGCAGACACAATAAGGTGCCTGCTAATATGTTCACTAGCAAGAAACGTTTTCTGTATGCCTGCCTACAAGTGTCAACAAAGCTGGGCACAAGAGCACTCTCCATGGACCACAGAATGGTAGTTGGTGAGCTTAGTCAGCCCCCAAGTAACGCACTAGGTTAAAAAAAAAGAGATGAGAGTGCCTGATGTTTGTAGACTCCTCTCCAGCAAAATCTCGGTACCCTACAGTAAGAAACTGACACTATTTTCCGAAAGGCACACACAGGAGGGTAACAGCAGGCATCTTGAGGTGTCAACTCTTAGGAAGGACTTCTACATTAAAATGACTAGCAGGCTTGTTGCATGGTGTATACACTGCGTGCACAATTATTAGGCAAGTTGTATTTTTGAGGATTCATTTCATTATTGAACAACTACAGTGCTCTTGGTCAATCCAAAATGTTTATAAACCTCAAACCTGAATATTTAAGAAAGTAAAAGTGAGGTTTTGGCTTTCTTAGGAGAACATCTATGTGTGCACAACTAAGTGTAATTATTATGCAACTAAATGGAAAACGAAAATGTTCCCAGTGCACTTGTTTATTTTCATCTGTAAGGCCTCAGTCACACTACTAAGGGCCGGCCCGTACAGATCCGTGTGGCGTGCACGGCCGTATCGGGCTGCTCCCGGGAAGGACAGGTGCTGCGTGGGATTGCACACAGCAGCCTGTTCTTCTCTATTGGGAGTTTGCGGCCGTACGCTCATCCTGGCTGCACATCCGTGCAGGTGTCCGTACTCCTACGCAGACAGGATGGAACCTGTCTGCGTCTGAGCATTTATAAACAATATTGATTTTACAGTTGTATAGAGCACACAGCTGACCCTTTATATTTAGCAGTAGAAAAAATCCAAACATTTGGAATTCAGGGCTCTCAAATACATTTTACAAATATTATAAAACTGCTTCATATTCCTTAGTTACCCTATTCCATGCAATTATCTGGAAAGGTGCATGAGCTTAAACAAAACACTAAAAACAATTAGAAATGAATAAAAAGAAGATACGATAATCTGCATTAAGCTATATGCAAGCTAAAGAAGAACAAGTATGCAATAAACTTCTTATTAGACTTGAACACTGCACACATGTTAAATCACACACAGCATAAGAGCCAGTTTGTTTGTAGGCTTGCCTTTCTCAAACCTGCTGTTCCTAAAAAGAACAGTTACCCCAATGATGGCCATATAAGCATTGCTTTTTTTACATTTTTTTTGTTGAATTGGACGTTAAAAACATTTGTGTCATACAAAATCCCAAAAACTAACATTTGCCTGCATCAATTTGATCGCTTTTATTGACTAAAGCGGACCAGAAGCGATTGACTGCTGCTTTAAAAACAGATTGGAGGGAATTTATCAAAACTGGAGCAGACAGAATGTCAAGCAATTGCCCATGGCAGCCAACCAGCTTTTCTCTTCAGTTAAGATTTGAACATGAAAGAGAGAGGCTGATTGGCTGCCATTCACAGCTTATCTAAATTTTCTCTGCTCCAGTTTTGATAAATTCCCCTCTGCGTGTTTTTTTATTTGGTTTGACCAAAAATGACACCATCTTTGCTTCTAAAATTCAAATCATGCTGAAACAAAGATCTCTTGATTGAATAGGTTGCCAAAAGTGTTTTTTAACTTTGATTTGATATCTTGAAATTGGTCGAAAGGGATCATAATAGTGAAAAATGATTGATATTTGCTAGATGATCATTTAATTGATAAATTGATATGCCCCCAGCATTAGACAGACTGTTTGTTGCACTGATGTGTATATGCCCAGAATAAGGCAGCCTGAGTCTCATGCACTGATGTGTATATGCCCAGCATAAGACAGCCTGAGTCTCATGCACTGATGTGTATATGCCCAGAATAAGGCACCCTGAGTCTCATGCACTGATGCGTGTATCCCCAGCATAAGAGCGCCTGGGTCGCATGCATCAATATGTGTATGCCCAGCATAAGAGCGCCTGGGTCTCATGCATCAATATGTGTATGCCCAGCATAAGAGCGCCTGGGTCTCATGCATCAATATGCGTATGCCCAGCATAAGAGCGCCTGGGTCTCATGCATCAATATGTGTAGGTCCCAGCATAAGGTAGCCTGAGACTCAATTATCGATACGTGTATGCCCAGTATGAGACACACTGGTGACATCTGTTCCGATAAGCAGAGTATCCGTCCATGGATTCCCTGCTATTCGGAACTGAAGGCTCTTGTGTGAAAGGGGTCTTAGGGGTGACCTTAGAAAGAAAATCAAATATTTGAAACGGAAAGAGATATAAAAATACTGTACTGAAAACTATAGGACCATATAAACCAATGCCACAACAATGAAATATGCACACTGCTGTCCCAGGTGATATTTGCATTGAACAATCTGGACTACAGGAAAGCTGGTCCTGGGAGAAAGAGTGTTTCAGAGAGAAACAAGTTCCTGTAGAACTGAAGCCAAAACTTTATTTTTTTAGTTTTGGATACAATAAGGAAGGGTTATAACTCCTGTCAGCTTTTTTTTTTTTTTTCTTTACCCTCTGAGTTCCATTGGGGAGATTCCCCTTCCTGAACGATAGCAACAACAGTAAGTGAGAGGAAATCCCTGATTTTCCGCAAAGTCTCCAGAACTAGTGCCCACATTGGATGATTTCCCATGTATTCCTGTTCTGATGACAACCCAAAACATTTGGGCTTTTCTTTTACTTTCACTGATAAGTCACCAGGACAAATAGAGGGGGTGAATCTCCCCAATGGTGAGACGGCAATAAAAACCTGACAAATTCTAAACCCTCTGCACTCTATCCAAAACAAACAAAAAAGGTTTGTTTCAGTTGCACTTTAAGTTGGGGCTTTCAATACATTTTGCTACCTGCACCTGAGAATAGACAGATGGATGTTGATTGGCCGCAATGTGAAGCCACAACAATTGCCTTTACTACACTTCTTGTGCATCAATCCTACCATGTTAGCATTAAGAAAAACAAACAAGCTTGCATGGTTTATCCAAAATTAAATCAGTATGTCTTCTGATACTAATGTACCAAGTATACTGCCAAACTGAAGACTGCTGAAAGTTATTTTGTCATGTCATTTGCCTCTAACCCTAAACTTCTAATTGAATTAGCAATGTTACTGATGCATAAAGCAGTGTGCATGGAGGAAAGGCTGTGCACCACACAATGGATGTGAAGGAAACTCTCCATTAGTAAGTATAAAGTGTATAGTTATCCACATGCACTACTTCAACAGAGCATGACCAGAGGTAGAAGAGAATGATTCCAATACAACATCTAGCTTTCTCACTGCCAATGTGGTAAGTGTTACAATGCTATGCTTAATAGCTGCTACCATAATTGCTACTCTTGACGGTTACTACCACATAGGCAAGATAGGCCATACTGTATTGTTATCATCTGAAAAACGTATTTATTCCATGTCAGGACTATATGGAAATAGGATGCTTCCACCAATGGACACAGCTTGCAGCAAGGAGAGACAGGCAAAGACAAAGAAAGAAGAGAGGTCACTGTGCCTGGAAAACAGGGACAGAGGCCGGAGTACCAGGAGGTAGAGTCAGTCTGCTGGAGGCTCAGTGGCTGGAGTGGAGCTTTCTCTGCCCAAGGAACCAGTGTACTAAAACAGCCAAGGCTATGCCTCAGCCTACGCACACCTTCTCGTTCAAAGGGCCTGAGTCACAGTGAGGGACGGACAGGAAACAAAAAGTGAATATATAAAATGTTTAGTGAAATGTAGAGACAAAAACTAAATTATAAAGACATAAAACAGGTAATTCCAGTAAAATATGCTTTAAAAAAGAAGAAAGAAACAGTGATATTGTATATAAGCTCTTCCTGCATCAGCTGTCAAAGTTATCTATGGGAAATCTCCAGCAGGAACCCAGGCAGCAGATTGGAAGTTTTGGTGTAAGTCTCAGGTGCCGAACGTTGGTGCAGTTTCCTTTTGGG